CCTCTTCTCTCAGCCTTCAATACGTGTACTGTAATTATTGTCCTTCCTTTTATATTTTGATATGTACTGTGTAAACTGTGGGGTCCACACTTGCATGCTATAAATTCACAGGCAATTGAAGATGGGACCACTACCTCCCTAACTCTGTCCACCACGGGCAGCTTGAGCATTGCATTGTCTCTTCTGAGATGCTGCTTAGCAGCATCAGTTGGAAGGTTAGCCTTTTGAGCTGGAGATGTGGCCTCGGGAGTCAGCCAAGTCCCTTATGCACACTCTTCTGAATTCTGGGACGAGATCTGAATAATCAAGAAACCATTTTGCGTGGAATCTTCAAAGCTTCTTAGACATACAACTATAATTTTCATACACTGACCTAAAGACCCTTTAAATCAGGAGTGGGCAAACTATGGCCCGCAGGCCGGATCCAGCCCGTGAGCCGTTTTAAGCTGGCCTGCAAGCTCCTGCTGGGGAGCGGGGTCCAGGGCCGCACCACATGGCTTGGCCTGACTCTGGTGCTCCAGCCAGGGCGCTGGGTCAGGGGCCGCACCATGCGGCTCAGCCCTGCTCTGGCGCTCCGGCCGGGGAGCAGGGTTGGGAGCCGCTCCATGGCCCCACTCCGGCTCTTACATGCTCCAATGGCCCCCTCCGGCGCTCCAATGGGAGCTGCAGGGGGGTGCCTGCGGATGGGGCAGCGTGCAGAGCCACCTGGCCACGCCTCCACATAAGAGCCAGAGAAGGTACATGCCACTGTTTCCGGGAGCCGCTTGAGGTAAGCGCTGCTCGGAGCCTGCACCCCTGAGCCCCTCCCCAAGCCCCAACCCCTGCCCCAGCCCTGCTCCCCCTCCCACTCTCCAAACCCCTCAATCCTAGCCCAGAGCACCCTCCTACGCCCCAAACCTCTCATCCCCAGCCCCACCCCAGAGCCCCCCTCCCCCACCAGAGCCCTCACCCCCTCCCACACGCCAACCCAATTTTGTGAGCATTCAGGGCCCACCATACAATTTCTATTCCCCGGTGTGGCCCTCGGGCCAAAAAGTTTGCCCACCCCTGCTTTAAATAGTGTGTGTAACAATGGCAGACAATTGCCCCGCATCTTGCCACTGGGATCTTCAGGGTAAATCGCCATCTTCTGCTTCCAACACTGGTGTTCATTGGTGAATAGATCTTGGGGATATCTCAGTAGTCTAAGCATCAGTTTTTAAGCATCTATGTTCTGATTTTCAATTGTGAACACTCAGAACTCACTGAAATCACCAGGCGCTGTGGTTGCGTAACATCTCCAACAAATCAGACCACTGAAGTCCTTGTGTGCTTAACTCAGCCCTTCATTCTTCCAAGGTAGATTAAATTCCATGCTCTTTACCTGATGGGGATCTTCAGGATGAGATTTTAAGAACAGAGAGAGTCTGCTGTGGATTGGCACTAAAGAGCAGGGGCCCCGGACCAAAATTTCCCTCCTCCCAGCTGCTGTATCGTATGTGGTATGCAGGCTGGCATGCTCCACCCCAGAAGGGGCTGCATTTAAGTAGTGCTGCATGCACAGTTTGTAAACCACATTGGGATCCTTAGGGAGGGAAGGCCCTTTAAAAATGTCAGTATTCTTCTAATTGAATAGCTCGTCTCTTTATTCTGTAACCCATTAAATCTTGATCTGGAAGTATCAAAAAGGCACTTCCCCAACTGACACCAAAAAGAAATCCCTCCCAGCATTTTATTATGCTATTACAAAGAAATGGCAGAAGAGAGAAGCTGGGCAGTGAGTGACACCAGCACCTGATGCTTCTCGGAGACTCTGCTGTTACCTAGGTTTCTTTCCTGACACGTTCCCAATTTAAAAGGAGGCTGTTTGGGAAAAAAGACCTATGTGCAAAACTAGTACCAGATTTGTGCATCAGTGGGAGTGTATCGGGTGTTGTGACAGATGCTTCACCGTCCTGCCTGGCTGTGGATAGATTTGATTTTACAGGAGCGTTACTGCCACTGCTTTGCTGGGATCGATTTGGTCCTAAAAAGAAAAACTCCCTCTGAAAGAGCAGGTAAATAGAGAGGGCTGATTGCAACTCTCTGGCTTAAGCTGAAGAGACAGAAGGATGCATGATTTTCAGGTAGACAGTATAACAAAACTCTGTGAAAAGAGAGCTACCACATATTGTTCTGAGCACATGGGCCATATAAGAAGGACCATTAGGGGAAAGCATGCAAGGCAGCTTGTCAAATTCATATGGAAGTGAACTCTGGATTCCACATTTGAATGGGGCCAAGGTATAAATTCAGGACATCATATTGCCCTCAATCTACAGGGGCTTGTCCCCTGATGTCACAAGGAGATTTGCACAGAGATCAAGAGGAGGGTCTGGCCAGTATGCAGTCATTAATCTGTTCAATATTGTTTATCCAGTTCCTTGCTGCATTCAGTATTACTTAGTGAGAGATTCTGTGCTCTGGTAAGCCACCATTACTTCTGCCCTTTGTTTCTCTTCCCCTTTCCCTCTCCTGTCTGTTCATCCCTCTGCATTCCCTTCTTTGCAGAAGTTGCCACTTCCTACATGAGGAGGGTGCCACTCCCACCCCGTCTTCCAATGCCATCCCCTAAAACAACCAGCAATGGAAAGTTATGGTTGATGCTGAAGTGGTGACATCAGGCTGGAGAGCTGATGCCTCAATGAGGAGAGGGGGCAGAGAGGTGCATCCCTCTGTGGCATTGTTTTAGGCTGTCTTGTCTTCAGACTCAGGCAGCTACTTTATTTACTTTAATTTTGCAATGAACCCTTAGAATCTCCACAACCTGAGTATGCCAAGCAGGCCACATAAATATAGCACAGGGATCAGATCCAGCCACAAAGTGTTGGCTGCAGGACTAAACTCACTAGTTCATTAGATTATAAACCCTCCAGTCCCAAACCATAGGCAACCATAGCTATAAATCAATAGTCCACTGTGGGGTACTAGCACTTGTCTGGAGACAAGAGTCACAACACTGCTCTTTGTTTGGTGTCCCTCTGCCAAAGTCAGTTTGTTCAGTCACTTGTGAGGGCTCCTCCTGCAATAACCCAGAATGCTCCAGAAAGGAGGGCAGAAGGAATTTTGTTAGAAGTCTTGTTTAGAAGAACCAAGTGCAATAATACAGAAGCAGTGTTATGTCATTTCAGGTGAAAAGTGAAACATCCACTAACCCCATGAAGCATAGGGACTGGGGCACAGTGTCATCTTGTGGACTACGCAGGAATCTAACAGGAAATTGGATAGAGAGAGAGAGAGACGGACAGAGGTTACAGCCTGAGTCAGATACTGAATCGTGTCTCATCATCAGATTGTTGATGTAATTGCTAAGTAAAAGTATCTCACCAACACCTGAGACTCTGGTGCAGATGTAGGTAGGTGCCTACATCTCACTGGGAATTAGGTGCTTAAATACCTTTGAGGATCTGGGCCACACTGCTTTCTGCAGAAGAACAAAAATCATGATGATTGGCAAATTTATCTAATTGGCCTATGACAACTCATTGGAGATGCAGCTGCTTACATCTGAGCTGAATCTGGTCTAAAGGGTCTTGGATTTAATCAGGCTAACAAAAAAAAATAATTTATTTGACATTGAATTTCATCTCTGAGCAGAACAAGTTCTCATGCATCATCTGTCACATCTTCAGTGCACGCTCTGCCCTCCTGCAGGGTCATCTCCACATTCCAGTGCTGCAGCAGGGCACAGCCTCATGCCATCTCCCAGCCAACATGCCCACCAGTTGAACAGGATAGATGCTGGCATGTAAGAAGCCTCAGAGAGGCAGAGAAATGACTCAGTGACACCCACCTGGAATCTCTCAGAGAGGAAGGAGTGGAACTGCTACAGACCCACCCCACCCACTCAGCAAGAGAGTCATCAATGTTGTCTGACCAGTACTAGCAAAGGCTGTGACAGATCTAACATCACCATGGGCACGCATTGGCAGTTAGCAGAGGCAGATCACCCTCTGCATACAACCGGAATGGTTCTGTGCCAAGCCCAGCTTTGAACTCTGGAAGGATGTTTGGAGGATCATGAAAGCTTGCAGAACACAGCTGTGACCATAACCTTCACCCCAACCTTCTCTGTAACTACATGAACTGAGAATTAAAACACACATGGCCTGAAATCCTGCCCCCCAAATTCTCATAATCTCATTGACTACAATGGAGCCAGGAATTCACCCAGGAGTCTATAAATTGCCACTTCCAGAGAGATTAGCCAGAGAGTCCCGATTTTCTGCTTCATGCTTCAGGTCAATCCAGTTGAAGGAACCTGCCTTCTAGCAGCTCCACCAGCTTCTTCCTTTTATGAATAGCCAAACCTAAACTGCATGGCCTAGTTTCACCACCTCAGCCCACTTTCCCCTGTTCTCCATATTCTCAGCGTTGAACTAACCAGTGGCACAAGTGCAAATGCAAGAACAGAATTTAGCTCTAGGGTTTAGCTCAGTTCGGTGCTTAAGGAATCATGAACATGCAGTAGTAGAGGGAAATTCTCTTATAGGAGGGACAGTGCATGTTTCATCTACGGTTTGCAATAATATGTGAACACACTGCAATTCTGTAGCACTTTCCACCCATGCTCTCAAAGCACTTTAAACAGGAAAATACTATGATCCCCATTTTTAAAGATGAGGCACAAGATATTAGATGTTTTTACGAGGTCACAGTGGCACAGCTCGGAACAGAACCCTGCTCACCTGATTCTCCATCCTGTGCTTAGACTAGGAGAGCACAGGCACCGCCATAAACATAGGATCAGATCAGCCTTTTGCAGGCAGGGTTTGGCTCACTCTAGGTGGCCACAGAACACGAAACTCGAGATTATTAAAAGGCTGTTTAAAAAAAACTAACCAAGCAACTTTCTGATTGGTAAGTCCCCTTCCCACCTCCCCAAAGCTGCTCCTTGATCTTGAAAGTATGGCGTCAGAGAATGACCTTTGACCTGTAGGTTGGAGGTTTAGCTTGTGTGTTAAAGTTTTATTGACTATGAGCTTCAGGGCCTCTTTGTAAACAAGCGAAAACCCATTCAAAGTCCTCAGGGCTCTGAGACATGACACTAGAAATGTCAGGGCCAATGGTTCTCTGGCCTCTCCCCTTATTCCACCTGGGACTTCTGCCCTGTGTTCTCTTTCAGGAAGTCATGGATGGCAGTGGTGAGACCCCATGTCAGGCAGGACCTGAGGACAAGGAGGGAGCCGCCCCGATAGAGAAGAGTCAGCTTCCTCCCGTGCGACTCCCAGACAGACCACACAGACTGCCGGAGGCCGAGGAGATCCCTCCCCACAACCTGTGACTGCATGTTGGCAATGAGGACACTCAGAGGGTACAATGCCAGGCAAGTCACCGTCCCATTAACACTGCCAGACACCAGGGCAGGGAGCCAGCTAGGCAAGCCCCTCGTGGCCAGGCCATCACGGAGGGGATCCTTAAAAGAGAAGTACAGTGCACTGCCCAGGCTGTTCCGCAGCAGGACGGGGCTGAGGCCACGATAGTAGCCTACAACCAGCCTTTCCTTCAGACCATATGAGTTGAATTCCTGCAGGATGCTGCGGGTGTTTGGGAACCTGGCATCTTTCCGTCCATCTTGCAGGACATTCTGGACCCGCTCAAAGGGGTTCAGGACTAAAGCTTCCACTAAGCCAGCCAGGAATCCTGCTGTCCACCGCTCCCCCAGCGTGCAAGGCTCAGAAGGGTTGCTGGTGAGGAGAAGGAGCAAGCTGTCATGGGTGCCAAACAACAGGGTTCCCTGGAGCGTCTTGGACAAGAGTGGTGGGAAGAGGCCCCGGTAGAAGCGGCGCATGCCCTCCTGGCGCAGTTGCTGTATGGCCTCCTGTATGGAAAAGGCATGGATCTGCTGGCGGAAGATGGTCTTGTAGATGGGGAAGGTCACAAGGGTAGAGAGGAAGCTGGAGACGGCCCCTACATTGTAACTCCTGGAGCTCCACCTTCTCTCTTCCTCCTCCCTCCTCTCAGGGTCTCCGTGCTGTATCCTGGCCTTGTCCCCCATTCTGAGACCTTCTCCTTTAGGCACTAGGATCGGGTAGAAAAAAACCCATAAGAGTTTGTAAGAAGGTTATGGGGCAAGTGAGTCGGAGTCATTCGCCAGCTGGAAAGGTGTATTACCGTCTGGCTGACTAGTTTGCTCCTACCTGGAACTAACTCACAAGAAATGACCCCTCTTCAAACACTGACCCCAGGCCACGTTGGAACACTCTGACTGCCCTGTCCCTTGGTCAGTGGGAGGATTGATTTTCTGTCTTTCCTCCACCACCCACCCTGTCTTACCCCAGTTCTCTGCTAACATGAGAGACGCATTTTATCCCTCCTCTCCTACGGGATGAGCCCTAACGTTTCCTTATATACTTGTTTCCCCATGTTGGGGACAAAGCTTTTGTATGTGTTTTTCCAGCAGAGCTGCCTCATGGTAGCAGCCTGAAGTCCCAGCATGTACCTTTTGTTGCTCTCCCTTGTGTCTTTGTTATCAGCATCTACCCTATAAGCAGCTGGAGCCAATCATCCCCAAGAGAGAGACATCAATCCAATGGTCCTTTCTGTGGAGATCTGGTATCTTATGTAGCTTGATAAGATTTTTGCAGTGTCTATACCCCAGATTACCACTGCTCCTGTACCAACTATGTGTGGCTGCCTAGAATCACCTCCATCAAAACAGAGAGACTGAGCCTGGCAGTTTATCCTGACAGAGCACTGGGTCTGGCTGAAGTCTGTGCCAGTGTAGGAAATGAGAGGCCTGGGTCTCCATGGAGCTGGGTACTGTACAGTCACACCCCAGGGCACTACAGTCACATCCCAGGGCACAATCCCTGTGCCATGGAAGCTAAACATTCCTTCCCACTGGAGCTAAGCCAGGCATCTAGAGCCTCATCCAAAGCCCACTGAAGCCTGGGGGAACTTTTCCTTGGACTTCAATAGGATTTGGATCAGGCCTATAATTCCCAGCCTTTAGGATAGTGTGCATTAGTTTGTGGGGAACATATGGTCAAATCCGGCAGAGTGGCTGTGGAGGGCCACATGGCAGAATCACTGCAGTTCCATGGTGCAGGGTGGGGGAAACAGGCATTGGGTGTGAGGGCTTCTTGCACAGCAGCACTTGGCGACCTCCTCCTGAGCAGTCCAGCGGCAGGGCACAGGCATGGGCAGGGCAAACACCAGCCCATCCCTTCAGCATGGGGCAATGCTGCATTGCTGCCTCTCACATGGTAAGTGGAGGGGGGTTTTACCCCACACTGCCCACTGCTGTCCTGTTGTTTCCTTGTACTCCCCACCTGTCTGTCTCCACCCAATGTCTCATCTTATACTTGGATTGGAAGCTCTTTGGGACAGGGACTGGTCTGTTTGTCCAGCACCTAGCACAACGGGGTCCTGGGTCAGGCCCTTGGGTCCCACGAGCTACTGCGATACAAATAATTATATGAAGAAAGTGGGATCTTATTTAAAGTCATTTAAAAAAAAAAATCACATCATGCAGCAGCTACCACAACAGATTTCAGATCTAAGATGACATGTAGATACGAGTTCAACACCATGGGTCAAACTCCTCGCTGCTGCAGCTCTGCTACAGCCAATGGAGGTCACCCCAGGGAGGAAGTGGGCTGAGTTCAAGCTCTCCAGCAAGGGGAGGGGGAGATGCATTTCACTCCTCCCCAGGATTATTCACCCATCCTGTTTAGGGAACCCAATTGTGCCATGACCCGGGTGGTACTCAGATGCCACAGTGACACACCCAGGCCCTGCTCCTGCAAAGACAGCTGCACAACTTCACACATATGCGAACAGGCTCACTAAAGTCAGTTGAAGTCTTTGCAGGATGGGAGCACTCAGAAGAATCCTGGGGTGACAATGGCAGCACACAGCTGTCAGAGAGTGCACTTCCAATTGTACATTCAGGGCAGGGACTGTTTCTCTTCCCATCCGCTCTCACTTCTCAGCCTGCATCTCAGCCATCTCCTGGATAGAAACATAATACAACCAAAGCCAAACTCCTGATCTTCCCTCTCAATCCATCTCCACTGCCTCTCTCTGTTACTGATATCATTGCCACCATCCTCCCTGGGCCTGGATCCTCCTCCATTTCCCTACACATCTTGGTCAGATCCAAATCCTGCTGCTTTCTCCTCCTCAGCATCTGTCTCACCTACCATATTTTACAGACAGACATGCGCCTCCCCTTCAGTTCATACAAAATGCAGTTGAACTCTCTCTCTCAAAAAAAAATCCCTCCACTGGACACCCCTCCCCTTCCCCCCCATCTGCTACTGCATCAAAGTTAAACTTCTTGTCAGCTCCTCCAGCTTGTATAACTCTGCTCCCCCCTACTTATATGACCATGTCAGGCTTCATGTTGCCCCCGCGCCTTGCTCACCTGTTTGTCAGCTTCTTGCACATGAAGCCAATGTCGTCGTAGGCTGCGGAGCGGCTTTTACTTTCTTTCCTCTAGGAATTTTAGTGGGTATTCTAGCCTTTCTGCTTCTTTAGGCTCCTACATCCCTTTGAGAGTCTGGGCCTCTGGGCCTTCTCCCTCAAGCGTACCTAGGCATGGGGCAACCAAACTTCCTGTCCATAAGGCCCATACCCTGTCCACATCAAAGTCCCTCTTCAAAATCCCACTTCTGCCATGCAGCATATGGGGAATCTTGGTAACCTGTATATGAAGTCCCTCTTTTTGTTCTCCATCCTCAGTTGGTCTCACTCTGTTTTTAGACCATGAGTTCCTTAGGCCAGGGATAATTCCTTCTTCAGGGTCTAGAAAATACTAGCACATTACAGGCTGTATCATAAACAAATAGTGAATAAAAATGTGTGTTGACACTGCCCCAAATAATATCAGCTGAGGCTGCAGTCTTATCACCTGTGATGATGCAAAGAGCAAGTAGATTTTGTGACTGGGGTAGTAAGTTGACTCAGATCCCAGACTGAGTTGGTTGGACTGCCAGATTTGGGGGGGGAAGAACCACACTTCATTTATAAATTGAGCAAATTTGATCCGGACTCAATGAATATGGACCCCACACAATGCCATCCTAACCTCAGCCTTTTCAGAGGGTCATAGAATAGGGTGACCAGATAGCAAGTGTAAAAAATCTGGAGGGGGGTCGGGGGTAATAGGTACCTATATAAGAAAAAGCCCCCAAAATCGGGCCTGTCCCTATAAAATTGGGACATCTGGTCACCCTAATCACAGAACCAGTGTGGGGAGAAGTTGGGGGGAAGAGAAAGGGAAGTCAGATCCAGCAATCTTGGTGATCCCTTACAGTCTGATGCCACTTTCAGAAGTGCCTGGATAAGAAAGTTAATCTACATTGGAGATATATATATTTATTTCACATGAAGCAAATGTCATCAGAGGCGGGGGAGGGGCTCTGCCTTCCTTTTCTCCAGGAATTTCAGATTGGGTATTCTAGTCAGCCTGCTCTGCAAAAGGCTTGATTTGGGGGCAGGAAAGCATAAAAACACCCTTATAATTTTATACACTAAATCGCTAAGAGAAGAATGCGCCGATCAAAAATCAAGGACTGATGAGGTTCACTTAGGATCATCCCTAGGAAGTTTGTTTAAAAAGGTCAGAGGGGACTTCAGTTCTTTAAGCAATTAAAAAGGAAGAAAAAAAAAAAGTACACCACTAAGCCAAGGGGATAAGGCAGAAACCCCCTTTTAGAAATACTGTACCAATATTTTACCTTGTTTATCCTCCAGCTGTTCCTGCTTTCCACACACACACTCCCTCTCCCTCCTGGCTTGCTCTCAATTCATTCTCTTTGCAGATGGTGAATGAGCTTTATTTTACCTTATGTCATTTGCCGCCCCTGAGAAATAGAGGGCTATGTTACCGCATCCTCTTTCCACACAGACACACCGCCCTGCCACAATCTCATTGGTTGCCCTCACTGCTACTCAGGAACATATCGTCAGCATTAGCCAGGGACAGGCATATTACAGCTCATCAACTGGGGTGCTTTAGGGACTGAGGCATCAGCAAGAATAGCCGCAAGATCTCAGTGAGGTAAGCATACTGGAGCACAGATGGCCAATGGCTGCTCAGGGGTGGGGTCGGGGAGCAGCATGGAAACCATTATATTACCTTGATTGTAATGCATTAGTTCACTCTCAGTGTTGCAGGGATTCAGCACTCAGGGCCGGCTTTAGGCCGATTCAGCCGATTTGGCTGAATTGGGCCCCGCGCAAAGAGGGCCCCGCGCTGCAGCTCTCCACCCCACCCTCAGCACACTTCCCCCTCCTCCCCTCCCCTGAACGCTCCGCCCCCTCCCCTGCTGATTCGCGGGAAGTCTGAAAAGAAGCAGGGGCGGGCAGGCAGCACCAGGTAAGCTGGGGTGGCGGGGGGAGCGAGAAGGGCTCCGGGGAGGCGCGGCCCAGTCCGGCCCTGGTTCCGGCCGAGCAGCAGGCCCCAGCGGCTCTGGCCCGGCTTGGCTCCAGCCCGGCCCCCGCGGCGCGGCTCCGGCCCAGGTCCCGTGGCCCGGCCCCCGCGGCTCCGGCCCGGACCCAAGCCCGGCAACCCCGGCTCAATTCCTGGGGGTGGGGCTTGCAGCAAGCCCCGCCCCCAGGAATTGGGCCCCACTCTTGCTAAAGCCGGCCCAGCACTACACTCTTCTTGTGTCAATTGTAGGCTGTATTAGAGTTTGTGAGCCCCCCTTTCCAACAAAGCACATACTAGACAAAGGGAAGACTGTCTGGAAAGAGTGTTTACAGTAATAAATGTGGTTGCAACTCGTCAATTCTGTAGAGCGTTAACTGCTGAGGTCTGACCATCCAAAAATCAGCCACTAATACCAAAAGCTTTAAAACTAGCCCTTGAAATTGTTTTACTGGCCAAGCTTTTTCTGGGCATGGGGTTTTAATCACTCTCACAAGCCACTATTTTTGTGTCTGCACAGATGCAGGATAATTTTGCTTTAAATGACAGCATTTCTGATTTCTTTAGCAGGAACCAGCTTCATGGTTCATTTCTGATGTTAATTTATAGCAGTTGAAGCAAGATACTGACAGACAAGAAAAAAATGGAAGCAACCTGGATCTCAAATGAGAGCAAAGAACGACTGTGAATCATGTTAATAAATTAGATTGAAGTCTCCGAGTTTGTCAGGGCTCAGACACATCCCACTAATGGGCAATTTCCAGGAACATCCAGTTAACAGGATTTCTCTGCATGTGATCAGACATGGGATTGTGCTTTCTCCAGCCCTCTGCACATAGACCAGCAAACTTTTTTAAATGAAAGGAGGGATTTACTATGGGGTATGCTGGGCCAGTGAGAAAGGGTGGAACACAAACCAACCACTTCAAATATTTCTCCTTCTCCACATGCTGGGCACTGGAGAACTTATGACAAACCTGCAACTTGATGTAAGAGAGTGCAAAAGTAAGGAGGGAAAATCTTCCATCAGTAGGGACTGATCACCTCTGAGAGGCAGCTTTTACAGCAGGCCAAACTTTCACATGTATTACAACTTGGCATGAGCTCATTTCTCATTTACTTTGTTTGACTTGCTCCATGTTCTAGGTGAAAACGGTTAGGCTTTCATTGATCCTGCTCAACATTTTTCCTTTGCTGTAGGCTGAAGTCATCCTGTTGAATTTCAATAAATCACACTGGAGTCCAGAAAAATCAGCTAGTGTTTAAATAGATCTGCTCTCCTACCAAAAAGGAAGAAAGCAAGTAGCAAATTACATTGCTCTTGTGTAGACAACTTCAGGTTTGCCTCATTCTGCAAAAATCAAATAGCAGGGATACAAGAGTTCTGCCATTAGTGAGGTCACATTCTGGTTCAGACAGGGTTGCGAGAATTGGTATGTTTCCAGAGATGTGTTTTGTGTTGACTGTGCCTTTCACTCGTTGAGCAGTTCATCTTTAGCACTGCCTAATTATAAAATCTCTTAACTGCAGCCCAGTGCACCATTACTCCTGGGTACAGGAAGTAAGAGGCAGTGAATAATTACAAGTTTCTGGCATTGCATGCTTATACTATAGGCTCCCCTTCTGTATAATATCACCTTCCAAAAGGCATCATTCTGCCACAAGATGTTCCCAGGAACTGTATGGTAAAGACACGGAAGGCTGATGATGTTCAGTAAACGACAGCATGTATGCACGTGGCATGTAGTTCACTTAGAGAACTGTCTGCTAAATTTGAAATATTCACATTCCTTTCACATTCCTTTAGGGGCTCAGACCACTACAGGGTCAATTAGGAACCAAGTGCAGGAAAAAGGGATTTAGTTTAGGCACAGAGCACAATGTGCATTGAGCAGCGCTACTGCACTAAACTAATGTAAGGGGGATTGGGAGAAGAGGAATTTAATTTCACTATAAGAATCATGGACATGCAAATCTATATCGAGACATTTGCACTTCTTAAATTCATTTTAAGATTGCATCATCTGAGTCTAGTCACCCAGAAGCAGCTGTTTCCCTTAAAGGTATGGCAACAAGAATGTCCTTATAGAATTGGTATATATTATCTTTTGCTTTTGAACAGGGAAACCCCACGAAGCAATTGGGAATCTTACCAATCACATCTAGTTGCTCTCACTATAGGTCTCTGATGTATGGTGCTCTTTTATCCAGTGGAGGCCCACACCCATCCAAGCAATATCACGCACTATAGTTTTAACTAGGGCTGTCAATTAATCAGTTAACACCTGCGATTAACTGAAAACAAAATCAATTTTTTAACGTAGCATACCTCTGGGCAGGGAGGGAGGCAGAAGCCCCGTGTCCAGAGGGGGGCTGAAGCCCAGAACCTCCAGCCTATATTTGAAAATATAGAAAACATCCAAAAATATTTAAAATGGTATTCTATTATTAACAGTGAAACAGTTTCAAACTGTGATTAATTGCAATTAATACAGTAACTCCTCACTTAACGTTGTAGTTATGGTCCTGAAAAATGCAACTTTAAGCGAAACGATGTTAAGCGAATCCACACACACACACACACACAGTTTTAAACAAACAATTTAATACTGGTACAGTGATGATGATTGTGAAGCTTGGTTGAGGTGGAGGAGTCAGAGGGTGGGATATTTCCCAGGGAATGCCTTACTGCTAAATGATGAACTAGCAATTGTTTGAGCCCTCAAGGGTTAACTCTCACACTCTACAAGGCAGCAGGAATGGAGGGAGGGGAGAGAGCATTGTAGACAGAGACACACACCCACACACCGTATGTAAGAGACAGATGCGCATTTCCCCTTTAAGTACGCTGACCCCACTCTTAAGTATACTGCCTTGTTAATTAGATCAGCTTGCTGAGACCGCAGCTGCGGCCAGCAAGCTCCCTCCATCCTGAGCCCTGTTGTGTGTCCCCCATGTTCTACGGAAGATGGGATAAGCAGGGTGCAGGAGCAGGGGGACACCCTGACAGGCCCCCTCTTCCTCCCCTCCCCCCTGTACAGCAAGCAGGAGTCTCAGGGAGCAGCTCCAAGGCAGAGGGCAGGAGCAGCACATGGCAGTGGGGGGAGAGACAGCTGAACTGCCGGCAATTGATAGCCTGCTGGGTAGCTGCTGTACAGGGAACTTAGGGTAGCAGGGAGCTGATGGGGGGCTGCCAGTCCACCCTGGTTCCAAGCCCCCACCAGCTAGCTGCAATGGGCTGCTCTTCCTACAAGCAGTGGACAAAGCAGGCGGCTGCCAAATGACGTTAGAAGGGAGCATTGCGCAACTTTATATGAGCATGTTCCCCAATTGATCAGCAACGTAACAACGAAACGTTAACCGGGACAACTTTAAGTGAGGAGTTACTGTATTTGTAATCGCTTGACAGCCCTATTTTTAACCAATACCTCCCTTTCAAGTGGTGCTTTACAGTGCTGCTAAATCACTAAGTTCTACCTATGCACAATGAGACTGTCCAAAGTAGAATTGGTGTGCCTGCTAGCAATGGAGCGGGCAGGCAGTACATT